GGGGAGTAAACCAGAGGATGGAAGACCTCTCTCTCTCTCTGTAACTCTGCTTCTCAAATAAATTAAAAAATCTTTCTAAAAAAGAAAAAAGGAAACTTGGTTAATGGGGTCAGTAGAGGCAGGGTACTGCAGCACAGCTGGTTAAGCCACCACCCGGGATACCCACATTTCCATTTCAGAGTATATGATTCAAGTCCCAGCTCTTCCACTTTGGATCCATTTCCTTCCTGATATGCCTGTGTGAAGCACTATCACTCTACCTTTTTATTTTTTTTTTTAAGATAGATTTATTTGAAAGACAGAGTACAGAGATAGAGGAGGAGAGACAGAGAGATCTTCCAACTGCTAGTTCACTCCCCAAATGCCACAACAGTCAGAGCTGGGCCAGGCTGAAGCCAAGAGCCAGGAGCTTCATCCAGGTCTCCCACATAGGTGCAGGAGTCCAAAGACTTGGGCCATCCTCCACCGCTTTCTCAGGCACATTGGCAGAGAGCTAGATTGGAAGAGGAGTCAAACCAGTGCCCATATGGGATGCTGGCATCACAGGCAGAGGCTTAACCCACTACACCACAACACCTGCCCCTGGAATGTTTTTTAACTTATTTACTTGAGAAGTAGAGTTATAGAGATAGGGAGAGATAGAGAGAAAGGTCTTCCATCCACTGGTTCACTCCCCAGATGGCTACAAAAGCCAGAGCTGAGCTGATCCAAAACCAGGAGCCAGGAGCTTCTGAGTCTCCGAAGAGGTGCAGGGGCCCAAGGACTTGAACCATCTTCTACTGCTTTCCCAGGCCACAGGCGGAGAGCTGGATCAGAAGAAGAGCAGTGGGACATGAACTGGGACCCACATGGGATGCAGGTGCCTTAGGCAGAGGTTTAGCCTATTATGCCACAGCGCTGGCCCCTAGAATGATTATTTCTAAGATTAAAACCCAATCATTTAATTTTAAAGCCCTTGGTTCACAGCTACTTTCAGAAAAATTGTCAATGATTGTTTACAGCCCTTGTCTCTTCTGTTGAGGAACATTTTTTCTTCACACTATTTGTTGAACTCTTTTACTTAGAGTAGGATTAACCTTACAATCATTAAGTAAACGGAAAGATCTCTTTAAAAAACTAAGAGTCGGAATGGAAAAAGGAAGAGGAAAAAGGGTTGGAGTGTGGGTGGCAGGGAGGGAAGTACCATTATGTTCCTAAATCTGTATATATAAAATATATGAAACTTGTATAACTTAAATAAAATTAAAAAAAGAATAAGACAAAGAAAAATTGTCAAACACCTTGATGTGTCAATATGCAGTCTACCTTTGAAAAAGTAAGTTGTCTGTGGTTAAATCTCACCTATGTCAGTAAAAGTATTGATTAGCCAAGTTTTTATCTTCATCTTTTTAAAGAGTTATTGATTCGAAAGGTAGAGTGACAGGGTCAGCACTGTAGCCCTCTTTCTCTGTCTCTCCTCCCTCTGTAACTCTACCTTTCAAAAATAATAAAAAAATCTTAAAAAAAAAAAAAAGGAAGAGGAAAAATCAGGATAGATTAGGGAAGTGTAAGGTCTAAAGGCAAAATTCTATCAGCCATCTATTTTCAGTAATCAAAGTCTTGCTGCAATACAATATCAGTTTAGGTACTTCTATGGCAGTTTTTGTGTTACAAGGTCAGAAGTGGGTAGTTCTACCCTTGTGACCTGCAAAACCAAAACATTGATTATCATTTATAGAAAAAGTTTGCTAATCCCTATTGTTTAAGTAATAGCTAACACAATAATCAGGAAGGAGGCAACAGGGCCTGAACCAGCATCTAGTAGTAGACATGGACAAACACTTGAGAAATTTAATAGAAAAGATTGCTAGTGTGACTGGTTGGATATAAAACTGGGTAAGAGAAGCATCTAGGATTGTTCCCGGCTTTCTAGCTCAACAGTCTGCTTAGATGAAGGAGCTAATATCCAACTAAAAATTGGTTCCCAAATGCACCGCCCTAATCCCTGGAATCTGTAAATGTTAGCATAAACAGCAAAAGTGACTTTTCCAATGTGATTGAATTAAATATATTGAGATGGAGGTGCTATGCTGGGTTATTTGGTTGGGCCCTAAATGCAACTTTAAGTGTCCGTATAAAAGGACAGAATAGATTGAACATAAAACCTATCTCTGGAGACAGAGAGTTATGCGGCCACAAGCCATGGAATGCTAGCAGCCCTGAGAAACTAAAAAAACAAGGAACAGATATTTCTTACAGTCTAGAGCAAAGGTGGGGACCATCCAGCCTACTGGTTGGATAAGGCCAGGGATATCATCTGAAATGGCATGGTTAAGTCAACTCAGGCAGGACTCGAAATTCAATAAATCTGTGGTGGACTAATTTTGAAGTTATTTATTTTTTATGGCTGTAAATGCTATTCTTAATATCCAAGTGGTCCTTGGCAGAAAAATGATTCCCCACCCCTGTGCGGCAGCCTGGCCCTGCTGACACCTTGATTTCTGCCCAGGGAAGCTGATTTCAGACTTCTGGCCTCCAGAATTGCCAGGGAATAAATTTCTGTTATTTTAAGTTTTGTGGTAACTCATTACAATTGCAATGGAAAGCAATACAAATGCCAAAGAAATACACTGGATTATGAATTCAAGAAGGGCTGCTGGTTTATGAAGGAAAAGATAAGGATTTGTGGCTGTTAATGTATCCTATGAGAAAACTAGGTGAAGACATCTAGGGCAGTCATAAATAAGAATACAAACTCGAAGAGCTCTGGATAGAACACAATAAGGTCCTCTGGAGTAAATTAAGCAAGGGTTGAGACAATACTGCCTAAACCTGCATTCCTCATCCCTATAGCCTAAGCAATTCTAGTCACAATCCAAAATGAAACCTAACAATAACTTACTTTATAATGGCTTCTTAAAGTGCTTTACTTATAATTTAACAGCTAATATATGGAACGTGTATCTGCGTCCAGCATTATCTCACTAAATCTCCCACAACAATTAATACAGCGGGTACATATTAACTTACCTTTTAAATGGAAAGAGAAGTGAACACAGTAAGCAATTTGCCTAAAGTCACACATTTAGTGAGCAAAAGCCAGATCAAATCATGATCAACAGAACTCCAAAGTCCAGGCAAACGTTTATTTTTTTTACTATTTGAAAGTCAGTTACAGAGAGAGAGGGAGAGACAGAGAGACTGTCCACACGCTGGTTCACTCCCGAGATAGCTGTAATGGCCGGGGTTGAGCCAGACCAAAGCCAGGAGCTTTTTCTGGGTCTCCCATGTGGGTAGCAGGGTCGCAAGCACTTGGACTGTCTTCCACTGCTTTCCCAAGGCCATTAGCAGGGAGTTGGATTGGAAGTGGAGCAGCCAAGACAGGAACAGGTACCTATACAGGATGTCAGCACTGTGGGCAGCGGCTTTACCTGCTAAGCCACAAAGCCAGCCCCCAAGAAGTAAACTCTTAAATGCTAAGCTCTACTTTCTCACTGTTGATCTCATTTAAAGGAAAGCTACACCACATGACATCCCAGGAATACTATACCTGTTAAATCCCTTATATAGTGTCATAGAAGGGAGCCATCACTGAGAGGCAAAGCAGCATGTGAGAAAGCCAACAGACACGGGATTAGGGTGGAAAGGAGGAAAAGAACTGACAGTTCTGGTTGTTTGGGAAAAGAAGTCAAAGTGGTACCTACAGGGATACTCATCTGGGAGCTGCAGTGACAATGTGGGGATGAAGGGGACATGAAGCAAATGGAGAAACGGAAATGGTCACAGGAAGGAAGATGGATGAAGTTGAAGGACACAGTTTGGACTAACAGTGAAGAGGAGGGGAAGGCGCTGTGGCCTAGCTGGTAAAGGTGCTGCCTACTATCCCAGCATCCCATTTGGGTGACTGTTCATGTCCCAGCTGCTCTACTTGCAATCCAGCTCCCTGCCAACAGCCTGGGAAAAGTAGCAAAAAATGGCCCAAATTTTCTGGGTCCTGGCCACCCCGCTGGGAGACCCAAATGAAGCTCCTGGTTCCTGGCTTCCACCTGGCCTAGTCCTGGCCCCTGCTACCATCTAGGGAGCAAACCAGCAGATGGAGATCTCACTCGTTCACTGTCTCTCCCACTCTTTCAAATTAATAAATCTTAATAATAATAGGGGCTGGCGCTGAAGCATAGGAGGCTAACCCCTCCGCCTGCAACAGGAGAATCCCATTTGGGCACCGGTTCACGTCGCGGCTGCTCCTCTTCCAATCCAGCTCTCTGCTTGTCAGGAAAACAGTGCTTGACCCCTGCACCCATGTGGGAGACACAGAAGAATCACCTGGCTCCTGGCTTTGGTGTGGCCCAACTCCAGCTGTTGTGACCATTTGGGGAGTGAACCAGAGGATGGAAGACCTCTCTCTCCACCCTCCCTCTCGCCCCCCCCACTTCCCTCGCTCTGTAACTCAGCCTTCAGATAAAGTCCTTTAAAAAAAAATAGTGAAGAGCAAAGGCTTTGGAATTAGACATGGGTCTAGGTTCCAATTCCACAGCACCTATACTAAGTATGTGGGAGTTTGGGATAGTTTCTTATCCTTTTGAAGCCTCAATTTTCACATCTGTAAAACGGGAATATTAAGATTCATCCCTCAGATCACGTCAAAGAACTAAAATAAAGAGCTCAGTGAGTGCTACGAATGTAGGTATCTTACTCCACTATTGTCACGAATAACAGTGCCATATTATTTCAACTACCACAGCATTAGTCTCCCTTCCCTTAAACACCACTGCATTTCCAGCCTTTTTTCGAGAACAGTGTGATGACTAAGAGTGGCCAGGGTACTGGAAAGATGTGGGCTGTGGAACCCAGCTGACTATCCAGCTGGTCCCCTCCACAGGGACCCCCACTCCCTTCTCCGGCCTACCGGTCTAACTGCTTCCCAGGCACAGGTGCGCGCCCTCCCCTCTGAAGCCCATCGCGTCGGCGGCACGTTGTCGGCCGGCTGGCCCACCCGCGCCCCTCCCCAGCTCCAGCCTCACCTTCTCGTAGTTCTGAATTAGGCGGCTGATACCCTCGCGCTCGACCTGCCACTCGGGCTTCTTCAGCTTCTTCCTCAACTGCTTCTTCTGGTTCTGCCTATGGCTGTGTTTTTTCTTCCAGCGATTAAAACTCCGCACCGGGTCGGGTCGCTCTCCTGAACCCCGGTGCTCTGCAAGTTTGCCCATCGCAGTGGCAACAGCACAGAGACCCCAGAAACTAGAAATCAGGGCCAGGCGGAGGAGCTGCACGGAGAGGACACGGAACCAGCGTGGGGAAAGCGCACAGAGGCGCATGCGCGAGTTCAGGAGCCCGTCCCCATGCTTTTGAAACCGGGGCACGCGCCAATGACGTCAAGGGAAAACTGAGCTCTGATTGGTGACTTGGCTTACGCAGGGAGGGGCAGGATGGGAGGAAATAGGGCGGAACGATCAGAGAAAGAGGGCGGGCCGAGAGGCCGCAGGAGCACGCCGGCCCTTTAAAATGACGCATGCGCGGTGGCTGCCGCTACTATTTTGGTGCTGTTCTGCTGAACATTTACGGGCTAGGTTCAAACTTCGGAGAGCGTTCTGTAGCACGCGCGTATTTACGCGCAATCTATGAATTGTAATTGTGATCTCCGTTTTGCATATTCAGGACCACGGGGCCGAAAGAGTTTACCTAAATCAAACAGCTGGGTAATAACTTTAATTTCTGTCCACTTCAGTGCACCTCTTTAGGAATAAAAATGAATTATGCCCTCTGAGTTTGCGATTTCCTCCGGGCCCTTGAAACAAGCTGGAAATGGCGAGGAACATGAACACAGTCTAAATGAATTTGCCTCAAAATGCTAGGATAATGATAATAAGTGCAGAAATAATATTTGGAAATTGGTCACTCGGGCAAATTGGCATTAATTTGTTTTTCTTTTCTTTTCTTTTTTTTTAGATTTTTTTTTATTTGGAAGAGAGAGAGAGCTCTTCCATCCACTGGCTCACTACCCAAAGGGCCACAAAGGCTAGGGCTGGGCCAGGCCAGGGCCAGGAGCTTCTTTGGGGTCTCCCACACAGGTACAAGGGCCCAGACACTTGGGCCATCTTCCGCTGCTTTTCCAGGCCATACCCAGAGCAGCCAGGACACGAACTGGCGCCCACATGGGATGCTGGAAGTGCAGCCAGAGGCTTAGCCCACTTACACCACACTGTGACTCACAACCTACTCTTAAATATGAAAGAATAGCAAAAGCCTACCAAACACCTGATAAAATCATTTAAAAGTTTTAAGCCAAAACTAATAAACCATGTTGTGAATATTTTTCTTAAGATAAAGCATTGTATCCAAGAAATAAGAGCAGAAAATGCCCAGAAAGCAAATTAGGGGGCTGGTGCTGTGGCGCAGCGGGTTAAAGCCCTGGCCTGAAGCACCAGCTTCCCATATGGGTGCTGGTTTGAGTCCTGGCTGCCTCTCTTCCAATCCAGCTCTCTGCTATGGCCTGGGGAAGCAGTAGAAGATGGCCCAAGTCCTTGGGCCCCTGCACCCACGTGGGAGACCCAGAGGAAGCTCCTGGCTCCTGGCTTCGGATCGGCGCAGCTCCGGCCATTGCAGCCATTTGGGAAGTGAACCAGCAGATGGAAGACACCTCTCTCTCTCTCTCTCTCCCTGCCTCTCTTCTCTCTGTGTAACTCTCTTCCAAATAAATAAAATAAAATCTTTTTTTAAAAAAAGAAAACAAATTAGAACTCATTATAGAAGTGATCATTCATTAAATAAGTCAAATTTTAACAAAATTCAAATTTTAGTTATAATTAAAAACTCAACATCACATTCTGAAGTCATTATGTTTAATAATTTGTAATATAAAGGGTTTATATCTTGATCACATAAAATGACATCATTGTAATGATTTCGATGCTTATTTGTGTCAGACTTTATTTTCTGTAGGAATGGCCCCTAAGCAGATTTTCAGTTGTGACAATGAGGACAATAGTTTTTAACAGATTTTAGTTTTAATACCATATTCTCTACTGCCAACCAATATTCACAAAGTCCTTAAAGAACTAAAGAGGTTTGAAAATGTGCCTGGTGGGGCTGGCGCTATGGTGTAGTGGGGAAAGCCTCTGCCTGCAGTGCCAGGCATCCCATATGGGTGCTGATTCAAGTCCAGTCCCGGCTGCTCCACTTCCAATTCAGCTCTCTGCTGTGGCCTGGGGAAGCAGTAGAAAATGGCCCAAGTCCTTGGGCCTCTGCACCTGCTGGGGGACCCGGACGAAGCTCCTGGCTTCAGATCAGCACAGCTCTGGCCATTGCAGCCAGTTGGGGAGTGAACCAGCAGATGGAACATCTCTCTCTCACTCTCACTCTCGCTCTTGCTCTGCCTCTCTGCCTTTCAAATAAACAAATAGGAGAAGAGGAGAGAAGAAGAAAATGTGCCTGGTCACCACTGCCACAAATGCCAGCAAAACTTCGGTGGGGGAAGGGTTATACTAAACCTTAAGGGGGAAATGTAGTATTTTTATCTTCTCCTTCATTGATGCCCCATTTAATATTATTTGTCCATTTCTATTTCAATGTTGCATGATGATAGTAGTTCATCATCATAATTCTTCAAATTTTATCTCTCTAAAACTCTGAAAAAATAACTCTTTTTAAAGATTATTGGGTTATTTTGGGGGGGGATTATACCCCAATAGTGATAAGAACAACTTTTGCTCAGATTCTAGTTTCTAAGTATCTTTTTTTCCAATCAAATGAATCACAGCTCTTTGGAGAAACAAACTAATTCCAGGACCAGGACGAAGAAAGTACAAGATGAACTGGAATAGTTTAAAGTGCCGGAAAATGAAGAAATGTTCAAAGAATGATAGGAATGGATGGCACAGTTCTTGACCTAGATGGTGGTTATGAGGATGTTTGTCTAATTAGATTCTACTCTTGTTTCTTGTAGCTTTCTATAGTGAAGGAAAAGAGAGCATGCATTACCAAAACATACATCTTTGACATAAAAATAATTTGTAAACAAAGAGCAATTAAGAAGTACCAAACAGAGGTAACTCTCCCTATTCTGCTTTTCAGCCAGGGTACAAATTCTGCTTTACTGGAAACTGTACTTGCTATGTCATCCCAAAGACAACACCAGAGTCTGCAAACAACCTTACTCCATTAACTTCCTCCCATAAGTCTGTCTTCCACAGTCTGCTATCTGGGAAAGCCCAATGCATGCCTGTCATTTCTCTACAGATTTGTCCATCTGATGAAAATGTTATGTGAAACAGTTCTAAGCCACAATTTGAGTTACTTTTCATTGAGGTTTTTCTAATGTAATGGGCACCCATGGTAAATAAACATTAACTTTAATTAATAAACTTATTAACTTCTCTTTTGTTACAGGGGTCTGTCCCAGCTACCAACCTATGAAAGCTGAGGAAAAATAACATTTCTTCCTCAACCCAGGCACTCCCACATGGGATGTGGATGTCTTAACCACTAGGCCAAATGCCCACCTCAGCAAATACATTTAAACTAATAATGTTTTCATAAGGATACCTTTAGCTGAATTTGAAATGGTATCTGGTCTATTTATTGTTTAAAAATCAATAAATAATAAAGGCACTGTTTAATGCCTCTAATTATTAATGGCAGAATAACCCCAGCTGGACTTTAATCTCATGCATTTTAAAACAACATAAAAGGCCGGCGCCGCGGCTCACTAGGCTAATCCTCCACCTTGCAGCACCGGCACACTGGGTTCTAGTCCCGGTCGGGGCGCCGGATTCCGTCCCGGGTTGCCCCTCTTCCAGGCCAGCTCTCTGCTGTGGCCAGGGAGTGCAGTGGAGGATGGCCCAGGTGCTTGGGCCCTGCACCCCATGGGAGACCAGGAGAAGCACCTGTCTCCTGCCATCAGATCAGCGCAGTGCGCCGGCCGCAGCGTGCCAGCCACAGCGGCCATTGGAGGGTGAACCAATTGCAAAGGAAGACCTTTCTCTCTGTTTCTCTCTCTCACTGTCCACTCTGCCTGTCAAAAAAACACACACACACACACACACACACATAAAAGTTAGCTTGAGTAAATGTTTATTTCAGCATTTCACTGTAGTTGTGTAGTTCTTGAATGATATAACATTTTCAATAGTTTAAAAATATGTTTTTGGGGGCTGGTGCTGTGGCATAGTGGGTAACGTCGCCGCCTGCAGTTCTGGCATCCCATATGGGTGCAGGTTCAAGCCCCGCTGCTCCACTTCTGATCCAGCTCTCTGCTGTGGCCTGGGAAAGCAGTAGAAGATTGTCGCTCCCCCTCTTCACGGAGGAACGACACAGGACCCTGCGTTGTTCTTTTGTCTGCTCAGCCCTCCCCAGGTTTGCTGCTGGTTCTTCCTGGGTTGGCTACCGTCCCTTCCACCTCCGTGGAAGGGCGGTTCCCCCTGCCACTTTCCCCACTTCCGCGGGGGAGCGGCACACCGCCGGCCGGCTCTCTCGGGGGCTGCTCAGGTGTTCCTTCAGATAGATGTTCCTGGTGCATGTTGTCTCTCTCCTCCTTTATAGTCCTCTTCCACCAATCCCAACTCTGCTACCCACATGCCGAGTACACTGCTCTCCTCCAATCAGGAGCAGGTCCTACAGTTTCTTGGTTGAACTGGAGGCAGCTGTGTAGAAGCTGTTACTCCCTTCTCAGCGCCATATTGTGGGAGAGCAGATGCATAGAATAAGTCTTAATTCCAGTAACAGTCTAGTCCGAGTTGCTCCCAGTTGCTCCCCACAGAAGATAGCCCAAGTCCTTTGGCCCCTGCACCGGTGTGGGAGACCTGGAAGAAGCTCCTGGCTTCTGGCTTTGGATCAACTCAGCTCTGGCTGTTGCTGCCATCTGGGGAGTGAACCATCATATGGAAGACCTTTCTCTCTTTCTCTACCTCTGCCTCTCTGTAACTCTGCCTTTCAAATAAATAAATAAATCTTTCAAAAAATAAATAAATAAAAAATATATTTGTGCTATATTTTTCATCATTAAGTTTAAAGAATGCCCAAAGAATATGGAGTGTTTTCTAATTACTTTTTGTGAATCTTCCTGTCAAAATCAGTTATGTTTTTATGTACATAAATTATAGCACTGATATATCTTTGACCTTCAAATTATGAATAATAATTATATTGTTTTTCTCACTATTAGAACCAGATTTAAATTTCTCAGATATCTATGAACAAGAAGATACTTCATTTCATTGAGAGGAAGTCATCTTTAATTTGCTACAATATCTTCACCTCAACACTATAGTATATAAAATTTCAGTTGGCCTACAGTATTTATTTTTTCCAGTTGTAATTTTTATACTGC